CTGGTTTTTCATCGTTTTTGTTTACCATAACTCTATGTTTTTGTTTTTCTCTGAAGTGTCTAATGGATTATAATAGTAATGTGGCTAGTTTGATGTTTTTAGGTAGACTCTTTCATGTAGCTTCTCTCATTTGTTGGATCCTCGAACATAAGGTATATTTCCGCAAAAACAAATAGGAAACTGCGTTGAGCATTAATAATACTAGGATTTGAATATAAGGTTTTCGTTTATTTATAAAAGCATAAAAAAAAAGATTGTTAGATCTCCTTTGAATTCTCTAAGATGTATTTAGACGATTTGTGCTTTGCTTGAATTGTTTAAAACCCTTAGTTGATTTCATTCGAGTAGGGTCAGTTTCTTTTGATTTCATTGGTATCGTGACCCATTTGCTAAGTATTGCAAGGTTCATACTACCAAGAGCAAGATGACTGATGGAGAAAGTGTTCCTCAAGATGCAATGGCGCAAATGATGATGGCCATGAGAAAAGAGTTACGGAACATGGGCAAACAGATGGGAATTATGCGACAAGAGTTTGGAGCAAGGATTGACCGGATGGAGGTGCCATCAAACGAAAAACCTTATGTTCATATCTAAAATTTGACTAACGATGTTATGGTTAATATGAAGCTTCTCCTGTTAGTTGGACTCGTTCGATCCAGGATTAATCAAGCAAACACCATTGCTTACATGTCACATGACTCAGCCAGAGTTAACATTTAACTAATGCTGTTATGGTGAATATGGATTTTGGCATGAAATAGATAGTTGGAGTAGGTAATTTGAAATTTATATGGGGTCAGATAGGAATACGCATTGTATATAAGTTCGGGTAGGAAAGTGCACTACATGTTTAGTTTGAGTTGAAATTAGTCATTTTCCCGCCAAACTTTGTTGACATGCTGGCATCTCCATCCATCCGAGTCAGCAGGCGTTAGCGATCAACTAACAGGAATATGGTCAATACAGATTTTGACACGAAAAAGATAATTAGGGTAAATTATTTAAATTTTATATGGAATTGAAGTAGAATTACACATTATACATAGATTCAGATAGAAAAGAGCACGAAATTAGTTTGAGTTGAAATTGGCCATTTTTCCAATCTTATAAACTATATTTTTATTAGTCATTTAAAATGTACTCTACAAAAAATGTAAACTGTACTTTTGTGCCTCTTCGATCATATATGATACAATTAAGTTACCGGATATAAAGACATTTTTATTGGACAGAAATTATCTATTTCCCAAACAATTATCTGTGATGCTGTGTTGTTCGAAAGTGCGATGAACGCGCACTTAGATCATCATAATAATGAAGATGATTTGCTTTTTGTTGTGGTTTTTTCTTCTTCTTTGAGTTGATGAATAATTTATCTGAAATTTTAATAAATTGATACAATTTTAGTATTTTTTCATACGTGTAGTGTTTTGTACTACCTAAAATATTCATGGGGGTTAAAAATATTAGACGGAGTATTTCACCATTACACATGGAACTAGAGGCAATGATATGGACTATGCATTGTATGCTCGACGCACAAAGATTAGAGGTGACCTTTGCTACAGATTGCCTTGAACTGGTGAAGATGGTGTCCAAACTAGAAGACTGGCTGGCTTTCGAACTACACTTGGAGGAATATGAGAGAAGCAGGAAAGAATTCACATCATTCTTCGTAAAGAATATTCCACGCGCCACAAACAAGAGGGCAGACAAGCTAGCACGGAATGCTTGCAACTACTTTCACAACATATATTATGTAAACTCAAATCCATCGGTTTGAATCTTTGAACCGTTCTAAGATAAGAGGCTGATAACAAAAAAAAAATTACACAATTTTTACACGCTCATAGTAATGAATTACCAATACTACCAAGAGATCCAATTAAAACATAAAAATATTATTTATTAATTAATATTATCATACATTTTTAAGATGATTTAAACCTAAAAAGATTTAATCAACCAAATCTTTAGCTTCTTCCATTTCTTTGTTGGTATAATCTCCTACTTCCGTGTACACTTTCTTTATTGTTGGATGAAATTTTTTTAATTTGATTTCTTTTTTTGTTCCATTAGATTGTTAGGTTGCCGCTCCTCTTCGCCAGGTTGATACTCCTTTTCGTCATTTTGTGAATTATTTGTTATTCGATTGAATATCTTTCGAGTTACTTTCTTGTTTTTCCATGTTTAGTTTCAGATTTTCTTTTATTTACACAAAAAGTTTGATTGTGGCAATATAATGAGTTTGGAATTAAATACTTACAATTAACAAAAAAAAAATTAATGTATTGATTTTAAAATCTGTTAGTCGATAGTAATATTTTTTGATTATTTTTTCAAAAAAAGTTTTTTAATTAATGTTGAATTAAACAAAATTGCATAGATGTGTGAAAAAAATCAAATAAGATGGGGAAAAACAAAAATCCTTGAAAATCATTTAAAATGGAACAAAGAGAGTAATAAATAATTTAATTTTGGATAAATTGCAAAGAGTAAATAACTTTAATCCCCAAAACTCTTTTTATTTTGCTCAATTGTAAAGATACTATAAATCTGAAAAATTTGCTGTTGACAAAAAAAACTGCTAACATTATTCACTATTTGTCAGCAACACTGTTTATCCAAAGTTAATAACGTCTATCGTCACTGTTATTATATAATCACTAGAGATGTTTCCGCACTATGCACGGTTATTTTTATAATTATTTAATTATTATTTAAATTAATTATTTAGATTTAAAAAATAAGATTTTGACTTTCAATATTATTTTGATGTGGTTATACATCAAAAAAAAATTAACGTATTTGAAAAATGTATTATGATTTAATTTAAGAATTTGCTAACTTGATATAAGTGAAAATTAATTGTTAATCTAAAACTTAATATCTGTATATAAACTCATTCTTGTTCACCAACTTTTAAAATATTATAAAAATTATTTTTTGTTTTTATGAAATTTGATATATAATTGAACTCAACAACTATAAGTTTTCTTTTTATTTAATTTAAAAATAAATTTTCATTTTAAATTTTAAATAAAAAAAAATAACTTATCAAATATATTAGTACACCTAAAACATCTGATTATTGTGTTTGTGTAGTATTTTTATTTCATTAGCAGTCTTAAATACAAAACAACAATCAATATTCCAAACTCTTACAAATCCATAAAAGAACTATTGTTCATATAAATAAAAACAACATTCACATTGTATACTAAATCACTATCATATTGATAAACTGCAATTTTGATTTTGTCACTGAAGCATATGTAAATTATAGAAGTGTAGATGAATAAAGCAAGTAAAATATGTATAAATATAATTTCATACTAACTCATTCTTTTAAAAAAAGTATGTTGAGTTTCTAAAAACTAAAAGGTTTAAAAGGTTCATTTGCATTTGGCTTGTAATTTAACTTAGATTTTTTTTTACACTACACATATATTTTGATGAGTCTTTATAATTAGATTAATAATATATATTATAATATTTTAAAAGAATTTCTTAACCCAAAAAAAATCATATTAGTTATCCTTACATGTTGAGTTGGTAAGGAATTTCTTTTTTGTAGATGTGGATGGTCATGGATGCTTTTCTGATATTTTCTTTTACATAAAAATTTTCTATGTTATATTTTAAATATAGAAATATAATATATTAATATTTAAAATAGAGTTATGCTAGTTTATTTTTTTTGTAAATGTATTGTATATATTTTTGTAATAAGTAATATATTCATAAAGTCCTATAAATTTATCTTTGTAGAGGCAGTAGACAATTTTGTATTTACGTAGGTGAAATAGAGTTGTGTTAATTTCAAAATTTTAATTATTTATTTGTTATGTAAATCTTTATGTTTCTAAAAGATGAATGTTCTAGATTTTTCTAAATTCTGAATGTTTAATTTTTTGTTTAGAAATTACTATTTTGTAACCTTCTATCTATTAACTATTATTTATGTTTTTTGGAGCAATTTCTTTTCCAAAATACTCATTATATTAGAAAGAAAAAGAGTGTATATTAGTTTTATAGATTTAAATAATGTTTATTTTATTGATTCAAATTTTATATTTTAATTATATTTAGTTTTTGTTAATAACTATATTAGTTTATTGGTCATATTATTTATTTTTGTATATTTTAAAAAAAAATCTAAAGTGGAGTTTTTTATTAATGCTTTTGTGCTGATGTGGCTTAATGAGAGAGTAGTTTAAAAAATCTGATGTGGATAGCTTTAGGAGCCCCAAACAATTTTTTTCATTTAGTATAGATTCATAAAGTCCTATAAGTTTATCTTTGTAGAGACAGTAGACAATTTTGTATCTACGTATGTGAAATAGAGGTGTGTTAATTTCAAAATTTTATTTATTTATTTGTTATGTATATAATCTTTATGTTTCTAAAAGATGAACATTCTAGATTTTTGAAAATTGTGAATGTTTAAATTTTTTTTTAGAAATTATTATTTTGTAACCTTCTATCTATTAACTATTATTTAAGTTTTTTTGGAGCAATTTCTTTTCCAAAATACTCATTATATTAGAAAGAAAAAGAGTCTCTATTAATGTTATAGATTTAAATAATGTTTATTTTACTGATTCAAAAGAATATTTTAATTTTATTTAGTTTTTGTTAATAGCTATATTAGTTTTAGTGGTCCTATTTATTTATTTTATATGTATTTTAAAAAAATTTAAAATGAATTTTTTTATTAATATTTTTTGCTGATCTGGTAACAGAAGAGAATAGTTTAAAAAATTTGATGTAGATAGCTGTAAGAGCTCCAAACAATTGCTTTCATTTAATATAGATTATGTTAAAACATTTAATGTATTGTAAAAAATATTATGTTATTAAAAATAAATATGAAATTGTTATGTTAAAGGAGTTATCATGTTCATAGAATTATCACATCATAGAAAATATGAAACAAGCTGTATGCAAAAGAAGAGAAAATCAGCCTAATAATATTTTGTAAATTTCGGAAGAATATTGAGAGGTGGATCAGCTTCAAGCTGGAGATTGTGAAACTGATTTGGAAGAGAGACTAGTTACTTTGTTTCCATTTGGATTTACAATTGCTACAAGACGTTAACAGCTTCCACTAGCATTCGGATTAAGATTTTGTTGTAATTAAATAGAAGAGTTTAGAATTCTATCTAATTAAAGAAACAAAAGGAAGAAGCCTATAAGCATTTTCTAATTGGCTATAGCAGAAGCCATGGCTAAAGCATACTTATGCTTAAGGTAAGCTTTGATGAAAGGGTCCAAGTCACCATCCATTACAGATGTGATATCAGAAGTTTCGTGACTTGTTCTAACATCCTTAACCAGTTTGTACGGATGAAACACGTAGTTCCTGATTTGCTGTCCCCACTCAGCCTTTACTACATCTCCTCTTATTTCCTTAATTTCAGTCGCACGTTGCTCCTCCGCAATCACCAACAGTTTCGCTTTTAGCCGGCTCAGACCTCTCGTTTTGTTCGCCGATTGACTTCTCTCCTCTGCAATATTTCACAATTAGTAACTTGGAAAAATATAATCAAATGAAACAATACTTATGAACAATACTTGGAGGCTTGGGTTTTCGGATTTCGGTTCGGATTTTTCGGTTTTCGGGTAATTCGGATATAACAGTAGAAGAACCGTTCATGTATTTATGAAATTCGGTTTGGTTTTTATTTGGTACTTTCGGTCTTTGTTTCGGTTGGAGTAGTGAAGTTGAGAACCAGTTAATAACCGAAAAATTCATATTCGGTTCGTTATTTTTTTGTTAATTTCAGATAAATCGGGTAAAAATACGGATAATTCGGATAAAAAATATCTAGTAGGCAATTTGGATAATTTTACGTAATTACATACGGGTAATCTTGGATATTCGGTTTTTTCAGATAATAACAATAGGGTAATTTGGTTTTTCAGGTAAATCCAGTAACTTCAATAATTTGGGTTATTTCAAATCTAATAAATCTAAATAATAGTTTTAAGTACACAAACCTATATCGCATATTCGGGTATAGGGGTGGGCACAGAAACCATAACCGAAAAAACCAAATCATACCAAATCGAAAAAAGTGATATGGTTTGGTTATGGTTAAACCTAAAAATCCATTTAGTCATCATTTTTTTATAGTTTTGGTTTAGGTTTAGTTAAAAACCGTCAAACCAAAAAGTTAATTCGGTTTTTAAACTAAATTTTAAATAATTTATATTTTCCTAATTTCTTAATCTAGTTTAGGTGCATATTTAATATATTTTCCTAATTTCTTAATCTAACTTAACTCATAAATTTAAAATATAATATTTATAAAAAATATCTACATATAAATAATAAAGTAAGCTTTAATTTCTCAAAAAAATAATGTGACTTCTTTTTCTTCACATTTAAGTCTTCTAGTTCTAGTTTCAAGATTATAGGTATTAAATTTTAATTTAGATTTGTTTATTATTTTATAATTATTGATTATGAAAGATTTGATAATTTGTTTGTTTCTCTGTTTTGAAATCTGTCCTTATTAATGAATTTTTAATGATTTAGATTCTATTTTTTGAATTTATTATTTTATTTCACTCATATTTATTATTATTATTTCCATTAGTTTGAATCAAAAAATTTCGTAATAGTATAATTCCAAAAAAACCAAAACCAAATCATATCAAACCGAACCGTAAAAAATCAAACCATACCGAACCGAAATATATATGGCTTTTATATGGTTTGAATTTTCGTAAAACCGATAAACCGTAAAACCGAAGAAACCGAACCGAAACCAAACCAAAAACCGAAGTGCCCACCCCTACTCGGGTACCCCATCTGGTTTTTAAATTCGGTTCCAGTTCTGGTTCAGTTTTTAAAAAGAAACCGTCCGGATATTAATAAATATTCGATTTGGTTCGGTTAGGTCGGTTTCCGGTAATTTGATCACGCATTCAAATTGTTTTCTACTTGCTAGACCAACTTAGAGTAGAGAGATTTGTGGAGATGAAAAGACAAACCTGAGCAACGGACAGCAACACCGGTAGGGATGTGAGTTATGCGAACAGCGGTTTCAACCTTGTTGACATTCTGTCCTCCTTTTCCACCTGCTCTCGTGAAAGTAATCTCAAGGTCCTCCTCTGGTATTTCAACTCCTACTGCTTCCTCTGGCAGAAGCGGCATCACTTCCACGCCAGAAAAACTCGTCTGCACGCCAATATATAAGTGTATAGCAAAACAATCACATACACTTTTGGAGTTTCATTAACCAAAAACTAGAAGGCAAATAGTTAAGATACACCAAGTTGCTATTAGCATTGATAACAACACAAGGTTACAAATTTCATGAAGCAAACTTAGTTTTTACCTGGCGAAGGCCTTTGGAATTGAATGGTGATTGACGTACGATCCTATGAGTTCCTTTCTCTCCTGAAAGGTAACCATAGGCATAACGACCGTCGATCTCAAGGGTCGCTGACTTGATCCCTGCTTCCTCTCCAGCAGACATTTCGACAACTTTTGTCTTGTAACGCTGCTTCTCTCCCCATCTCATATACATCCGAAGCAGCATATCGGCCCAATCCTGCACTGGAAGTTAATGCAGGAGTTCAATTAACATCGCAAAACATACAAGCCCTCTAAGAAAAAATTTCATATACAAAGGCATAAAACAAAGAATGAAAGATAATAATATTACAAAACGAAATCATCTTTAGTACACAAACACTCATGATCATCTCTTACATATGAATTCAGTTTATAAGCTTCTACACTCATGAACGTAGTCTCCAAGTATATATATGAATTCATTTAAACATCTAGAAAGAACAAAAAAACCGCATTATGTAAACAGTAATTACCGCAGGAGTTCAATGACCACCATCACAAGACATAGAATCCTCTAACAAGGATTCATACCAAGGCCAAAAACAATAGAGAACGATCGATAATACGACATTGCCATGGCCTCTATACAAAATGAATTGCATTCTTGGTTCTCATGATCATTTCTTTGATGTGAAGTCTGCTTATAGACTCTTAAACATAGTCTCCAAGTATATATCTGAATTCATTAAAAACTCAAAATAGAATAAGAAGCCAATTGCGTAAACAGTAATTACCTGAGCATCTGTTCCTCCAGCTCCAGCTGTAATGTAGACAACAGCGCCTTCTTTGTCATAAGGTCCTGATAGAAGCTGTGTTAGCTCAAATCGATCTAGAGATTTATTCAACTCTTTGATGATTCCCATTGCTTCTTCAAGTAGGCTAACATCAGTAGAGTCCATCTCTTCTGTTAGTTTAACTATGGTTTCCGCATCTTCAACCTGCCTCAAGCAGCAACACGTTATCTCCAAATGGTTACTCAAGCTAGATAAAACTTAAGAGGCATGCACCATAGAGGTGTAACAGCCAAAAATCATCCAGAGTACTAAACAACTCCTGTTTTGATATGCCGTTATCAATGCTCCAAACATGTCTATTGCTTCTTATTTCATCCAACGTTCAATTAAACAGAGGCTAAAGCGCTTTCACAATTGCTGAAAGATTACAGCTTTTTATCAGACCCTTCGCCCAAATTCGATCAAGATTGAAACTTTTAAACCAGAAAGGTGTAACATGCATCGAGACAGCCAAAAATTGTAAAATTCATCAGCATACATAAGCCTAGAGACCAAATATAAGGAAAATGAAAATTCAATAGTGATGACACTGAGTATGAGGAAACACACCATGGATTTGAACTCCGAAAGCAACCGCGAGCGATCTTTGAGATCATTCAAAGCCGAGAGTGTTTCTTGAGCTTTAGCACGATCATCCCAAAAGGAGGTATCAGTAGCTTTTGACTCCAAATGTGCAATTTCTTGTTCAAGTTGCTGCAAACCAGCAGAAGCTCTAATCTCTTCAACACGAGCGGATGCTACTTCAACATCTTTCCTCAATGTATAAAAATCTGTCAAGCAACCAAAAAGAAGAAATCACCCTCGTGATCTTACAATATGAAACATAAAGAAGAAATCGAAACCACTATCTCAAATTACTGGGAACTGAAAAGTAAAAAGGAGGTACCTTGCATTACCCACTCACTCGTATCGGTTTCATTCGTCAAACTCAGGTTACTATCTTGTGCAGCGAATAATACTGGAAAAAAATAACAAAAGTAGAAGAGAATATGTTAATTCGATGGCGAATTCCAAAGATGAAGACCAGAAAAATTGAAAATTGTAGCGATGGAGAGAGAAGAAACTGACTAGGAGAAATGAGACGATAGGTCGAAGAAGAAGATGAGAGATGGGGAAGAGATAGAGGAAGTGAGAGACGAAGAAGAGGGAGAGTCTTGGGTCGGAGAAGCGAAAGCGTGAGTTTTCCGGCGATGGCGATAGGTCGGAGAACGCTGACCTCCATGGATATTCTGGTGAAGGCTTCTCTCCTAATTTTCTGGCTCCTTTTATGCCTTTTTACGAGTTATCCACACTTCTAGTTCTAGTGGTGTGTCATTATGATATTATGTCACTATTATAATTTTGTTAACTAATTTTTTAATATTTTAATTTTCTGACGAACTTTAATGGAAGTTATTAATTTTATGATTTTAATGAATTTAAAAAAAAATTAAATTTATTGTTATTGATTTTATGATTTTAAAATTTATATTCAAATTCAATGTTATTGGCTTTATGATTTTAAAATCTATATTTAAAATTTGTGTTACTGGTTCATAATTTTATAATTATAGATTTGATTTTAAAAAAGATTTAGAAGGATTTAGAAAAAATTTCATGTTAAAAATACAAAGATTTTGTAAAATTAATTAGCTTGTGCTTGTAATGGTGTTTCCTTTTCTTTTTGATCATTTATAATGGTGTTTCTTTAGCAAGTGCCTTCAAAGCATGGAAAATTTCAATCAACTTGTCATTTTCAAACACTTCAGTCTCTTTAACCTCATCATCATCATTGATACTCAGAAGAAATTCTTTAATAACCTTATCCTTTTTTTCAGCAGGAAGGCTCAAGCTAGAAGGACAATGCATTTCGTACTCAGAAAAAAGATTGTTTTTGATCAAACCAATGTCTATGTTTGCAATTCTAAAATGCACTTGATGTAACTTTAATCTAAGAACTTAGTCACACTCATCACAATATGAAAATGATTCTCAGGTTATGAATATACACAAGCTATCAAATCACTCAACTTTTTTAACATTTATTAAACTTCAAATAAGTGAATCATGCTTATGCAAATGCAAGTGTCATCATTTGGCTACAAGGACAAGGCTATGAGATAGATATGATCCTATTATTTTTGAAGTGGTTAATTGTTTAAAGGGTTCTCTCCTCAAAAAGATGATTGAGCTATAGTGAAATGTTAAGGGTAGATAACAAATTATGCATACAAGAGAAGACTTCCATCTACCCAAACCCCATAAGTGTATCCTAAACTCTTACTTCTATCCATCACTTCATCCTATGCTACCCTTTAAACTCTGAAAACCCAGAAAGATCCCACTTCTTTCTTCTTCTTTTAAGCGCTTAAGAGGCATCTTCTTTTGAAAAATCTTCTTGGTGGTTGGCGCATTTTGTTGTTGAGTCTTTTTCTTTGACAATGCTAGTGCTTCTCATCCTTTGGATGCTTAGACTTTGAGTTGCACACTTCCTTATTTATTTTGCTTGAGCCACCATTTTCCTTTTGCGAATCCAATTCCAAGTTTTCTTGCTCTGCACTCCTTCTTTGCTTCCTTGTTTTCTTCCTTTCTCTCCCTTTTGTTAAAAACCCAAATCAAAAATCCCAAACCATCCTTTTTATAACCAAAACATCCTAGCCTATCTATCTCAAGAGGGAGAGCTAGTTCTACAATGGAAGGTATCCCTTGTAGTTCCTAACCCAACACTTTTTACTTAGCCCTATCACAAAGAAGATGCCTCACAATCACTCACAAATAATTTTTAGCTTGAAAGAAGGTTTGGTTGATGGTGGGGAAGTCTACTTGGATTCACAAGTGGATAAAAGAAATAAGAAAATCCAAGTATGTATATGGTATCCATGACAACAATGCAATGCATAAGACATGATAGTTCATTATTTAATATTAAGGTTGTTCTTAAGCAAAGGTTGAGATCACTTCAAGCAATTTTCAACTTCAAACAAGAGTTTCAAATCATAAATTACAAGAGTGGTTCAGCTTTATTTCAAGTTCTCATCAAATGCATCAAATAATTATGAACAAGGGCATTGGTTTCATCTAAACAACATCATTTCACATGGATTTAACTATCATTGTTCCCACTTTAAACACAAGAAATCCTACATGAATGTTATGCATCTAGACTCAACCTATATGAATGCAAATGAACACTCTGTTTTTGAGAAATAATAATCGAAATCTTTCAGATTCTTTTTGGTTTTTCTATGCCTTAGATGCTAATGATGCATGATTTTTTTCCCTAAAATGTAACAAGATGATCTAAATGCTTGAATCAAATATTTAGACTAAATGCAAAAATATACAAGAAACATCATTACTCTCACAAACCTTCCCACATACTTAAATTACACAATCCTTGTGTAATAAAAATGCAAGAGGCGGCAATAATCAACCAATAATTTTAAAAACATTTAAGAGGAAAAATAAAATGGTATATACACTGGTTTAGAGTGAGTGTACCTTAGGCCAAGGAAGTGTGAAAGGGTGAGCTCTCGCTGCTTTGGGAGGGGCTCTGCATTGGCGAGTGTGATGCGTCCCTCTTCTTTCCCCTATTTCGGCCAGCTTCATGGGAGGAATGCCTAGAAGGCTCCAAGGAGGTTGCTGGTGCACTTATCCCATGGAAGGAGTGGCGCATTCTGAAGTCTCACCTTGCTTCTTCCCTTGTTGTCCCACTTCTTTCCTTTTCTTAAAACCGCCTTTTCTCTTTGGACAAGATGAGTCATCACCAATTTTGTTTGTAAGCTTGTGAACCTTCTTCTTCAAGCTCTTAACTGATTTGGTCAAGCTTTTGATGATTTTCTCTTGAATTTTGTTTCAGCCTTGCAAGAGCTTGATGTGGTGATGAGCAACTCTTGTAGCTTCAGAAGGATAAGGTCTTGAGAATGGCTCAAAGTGATACATTGCACTCTCATCCTCCAAAGCTTCTCTTTCATGCGCTTGGAGCTCTTCATCTTCAGTGTTCTCTTGGTCTTCAGGTGGTGCTATAGCAATACCCTTCATCCTGCTTGTCCTTAGGAGAGGTTCATGAGCAATAGGGTTGTACAAGTCAGTCCCATCCACTTGGAACCACACATTATCTTGCTTGCTAGTTTGTAAGGCCGCTTGGGAAGGAGGGCTATTTTCTTCTTGTCTCCAAGCTCAAATTGATATGCATAGCCATCCCTCAAGTCTCCAACTAGGAAGTCAGTCTTGCTAATATAGGCAGTATCAAGTTATGCAATGGGATGTGTGGGTTCCTTGAGTATCACGCCAACAGTAAGCAAAATGGGGGTTATTAGTCCTCCAATGACAAGTTTGGGTTTCTTTGTAGAAGTGTTGATTGCCCATTGCTGGTGTTGTATAAACTGCTTCATCAAGAGTGTAATAAACTGCTCCTATTATTGGCCCTCCTCTAGTCTCCATAAAAACATACTTCAGCCCATTGACCAATAATCCAAGCTCTTCCTCCTTAAGTGTGTTGTGCTCTTTTCTGTAGAAGAAGGTGTTCGCTAGGACCTTGTCAGCATATCTAACAGCTGGATATATGATGCTAGAGCTCTTGAAGCACCCCTTCTTGTAGTCTTGGTTGGCGATCTCTTCCCACACATTCTTGGGCTCATCTCTACAAAAGGACATCTCCATTTCCCTTGTTGTGCCTTCATTGAACTCAAACAATTCATTCAGCTCATTGAAGCCCATCTTGTACTTGTCATTGCCCACTCTGAATCTTATAAAGCCATCCCCATAACCTTCTTCTTCCCCACTATCCCCCTCAAAATCATCAAAGTAGTGGATTTGGAGGGTTGAGAGGAATTGCAAAGCTTGCACCTTGTGAGTAGGATAGGCTGAGCAAAGTAACTTTTCCATCCCAAGGTTCTTGAATATCAGCTGAACCTCCTCTTCTATACCCATCTCTCTAAGCAATGATAGAGATGCAAATCGAGTGGGTAAAAATTCCACCTTGTTGATGGCTTTGAGAATCTCTGATATCTCCATTATTTATACCATCTTAGCATGCATTCATCATTAGTTTTTGGTCTTTTAACATGCATATTTTACTTCTTCTTGTCTCATTTGCATACATTTAGTAGTTAGTGTAGTTTTAGGTGTTGCATTGTATTTTGTTTGTATTTAGAGTTTTACTTAGGTACAAGAGGATGTTTGGAGACCATGTGGTGCCATGGGTGTGAGATAAGAGTGGAGCAAGGAGAAGAACAAAGGCGAATGGTGCAATATCAATAGGATATCAATGTAGCTTGGCCGACATGACGTGTATCAGACTTGATATCGAGGACTTTACATCGATACGGAAGAAGCAAGGTATGCAGAGGTGGGTATCGACTAGAAGAGACCTCGATATATCAAGGGGAGTTTGTACCGGGCAGTGTATCGGGCATTAAAGCCGATACACCAGCGACAGGACAGTATCGAAGAGCATATCGACTTGGGAGTGCCCCATATGCCTTAACTAAAGGGAGATTGTACCGATGTCCACACCGAGGAGGGTCAAGACGATACACCCATGAAGCCCGATGTATCGATCACTGTATCGACCAAGACCACATCGATACACCCTCAAGGAGAACCAGTATCGATGTGTGTATCGACTGAAAGAGCCGATATGGTCCAGCCGAGTCAGCTTAAAATCGGTTTTCTTTTGGTTTACTAGGGGATTCTAAGCCTCCCTATAAATACTTTAAGTCCTAAAATGTTTAGACAACTGCTATCTTATTATTTCTCTACTGTTCTTAGCTAAAAAACCTTTCCCTTTTGAGTTTATCTTTGTAAGACTCTTGTTTGATTTAGTGAATTTGTGTTTCTCTTTATCCACTCTTGTCCATTCTGCTTTCTAATCATGATTAGGCATTAATTCTCTTTGGAATATGTGGTTTTGATCATGACTAGTGAGTAGTCTCTTTTAGGGTTTAAGATGAGATAAATTAGAGGAGTTTTAGGATTAGAGTAGTGATGTCTTGTGCTTAATATGATGGTATTCTCTCTATTAGATGTGCTTAAACTAGATTTGTCTTGGCTAGGCTTGTTTAGTATCTTTGCTTTCTCTTATGCCTAGTAAGTTTTTGATGAAATGATGCTTAGTCTTTTAGAGGATCTGTTTATCTTAGCCTAAGAGATTAGATGTCTAAGTAACATTTTGGCTTTATAGGATTGGATTTCTGTTTGAATGCTTGTTAATCATCTGTTCAGTAATGAAAGTTGTCTTGAACATGTGCTTAGCAAAGTGATTAGTACCCAAGACATTGGGCTAGTTATAGCTGTTAATCTTATGCCTAGAAGACAGCATTGTTTGAATGGTTTTTGAAGCATCACTAGTTTGATTCTAATCCCCTCTTAGTCAATAACCCCCATCTTAGGTCCTTGCTTTAATCTATTTGAATCTCTTATTTCAAAATTGCATTGCTTAG